AAAGTGTTCATATTTTAGTATATTTTGAAATGTATATATTACGTCAATTTTGTTTTATGAGAATGAAGTATCAAATCATCTTAGATTAATATAAAATTTGATATATATGATCTAAGAAATATGAACTTTCAATCTAACGGTTGAATTTTCAAAATTCACATTTAATATAAAGTTATTGAACGGTGTAACACTTAGTAAAAGTTACACCAGTATCGTTTGAACCCTTCTCTGTCTCTCTCTCTCTCTCTCTCTATATATATATATATATATATATATATAATTTTTCTGTAAGTTATTAATTGGATTCATATCTTCAATGTCAGTAGTGCTTAAAATTTCTCTAGTTTATTTGGATGGAATATTTGAGGGTACGTGGGTGGGAATCTCTTCCACATTTCATAACAATTGCAAATATATATCACTTTTTCTTCGGTTTTTGGGGTTGCGGCATGCAGTAAGGAAATGTTTTGGTATTTGGTGATTTAGAGTTATACTATTAATTTGGAGATCACGTACCAGAGAGTTGAAACAAATTATTCCGGATATTAATAAAATCAATTTAAAAGACTAATTTCTTCTAACAAATACTTAATTAACCTATGTATATATCAAACTCTTAATCACATTAAGAAGCGTAATTATATATCACTCTAATCTTGTAATGACTTTGTCTATAAAGCCAAAAACAACTATAGAATGAAAAAATAAATAAATCAAAAAGCCCTTTATGGTCGATCGGTAAAAAGACTTTCAAGTTGTGTAAAATCATGAGCAAGTCCACTTTGTAAACTACAATAAAATAAATTACTTTCTTTTAAGTCAATATAAAATAAGTTGCTTAAAGTTATTCATGATATGCTTTCTTTCGATTAACGACAGCAAAATCTAACTGTCTCCTCTTTAACATTATGATAAGATTTTTATTCATCATTACAATGCAATCACTAAATTATTTGATTTGCCAATTTGTATGCTAGCTATTAACATGGATAGAATTTGCATCTAAGGAAAAAATTTGGCAAAAATATTTTACAGCGCATTTTGGTTAATTTGTACACTGCTTTTTTGTATACGCTGTTACAATCACAACACAACTCACTGTAAATAAATAAATATATATATATATATATATATATATATATATATATATATCATCAACAAATTAAAAATCGTATTAAATATGATTTTTAGAACAACTATTGTAATTTCATACATGACAATTTATAATTGAATAATAACATAAAAACAATTTTACTGTGAGTGTATAAATTGTTGACTCCGTTAAAAAATGCAATTACTATAAACAACCTTTATGAATTAAAATGTTTTGACACAGTTAAATATATAGATCAATAAAAATAAAGCCAACATTAGATTTACCTTCATGTTCACAGATTTACAAAATTTTCGTATCAGTGAAACCAAATGAAACTATAATCATACACCTTCTTCTTGTGACAAAGACCAAATGATCACCATTTAAAATAATAAAACCTTTTGCAATAAAATTCTTCTCCCGGCCCGCAGCCTCATGGTTTTTTATACTCTTAGTTTAAATTTTCTTCTTTACAAACTTGATTCATATTTTGTCAAAACCGGCCTTCTCCATATCAGCCTCATTTTTGTTTTTAACACTATTACTTTCAAAATTCTTCTTCACAAACTTAGTTCATTCTTTATGAAAAACTCATAAAATTAACTTGTTGAGTGTGTTTGTGGATATAGGCAAGAAGTGCCGAACCACGTTAATTTTTTAGTTTGTTTCTCTATTTTTATTTCTCTCGTGTGTGTGCTTCCGCTATTGAAGTTTTCTTTTCCCTCTGGTACCCAACAAGTGGTATCAGAGCCAGGTTGGTGTGGTGGGGCTCTGTGGGATTCTTAATTCTTAATTCTTTTCTCTCGTGTGTGTGCTTCCGCTATTGCAACATTGTCCAATCTTCCACATCAAAAAAGAATTGAGGTTTTGACCAAGGGAGGAAGAGAAATAGTGTACCAGGGAGGAAAAGAAGCAATACGTGGGCCAGACTTCTCCTTATGACAATGCACAATCCAGGAATATTTAGTCCACCAGGGTCTTGATTGTGCCTTAGAAGAAGAAAAGCCATGTGAGATGAGAATAATTACCCGACCTGCAGAGGGGGTCACCGCCTTAAATGAGAGAGGAGGTCATATGAAGGAAGGTTTCCAAGTTTCGCCAGAAAACTTGTGAATGATGATGGATTAATGTGAGACTTTGGATGAAGGGAGGATATGTTGTGCCCAAAGTGTGTGGGTATCCTCCAAAGTCCCACATCGGGTAGTTTTAAAAAAGGGAAGTGGTAGACTGTTACTATAAATAAGGGATGATAGTTTGGGTCTACTCACCACAACAACTCTAGTTCTTGGGTGTATTGGGGACTTGGGTAGTTGTGTGTCAAGAGAGGGTTTACAATTTTTTCGTGCAAAAATTGTGTGAGAGGGTTTGCAATTTTATCCTTGTAAAAATTGCAAGTGGATTAATAAAATTAACTTGTTGAGTGTGTTTGTGGATGTAGGCAAGAAGTGCTGAACCACGTTACTTTTTTAGTTTATTTCTCTATTTTTATTTCTCTCGTGTGTGTGCTTCTGCCGTTGAAGTTTTCTTTTCCCTATGGTACCCACCAGTTTTCTCAACTAAAATTGTCAAGAAACACCTGAAATTTATAGGGTCATACGTAGAATTTCCCGTAAAAAAACAAACACCGTGATGCGTGTTTTATATAACTCTTTTCTTGCAGTAACTTTTTATATAAGGGTAATTACTCTCTTGTCGTATTAATGGTACATACGAAATGGGCTTGTGTGTAGATTAGACCACCCTCTGCAATAGATTACTTACTATGATGGAAATTTCACAAGAAATATTCTAATAAATAGTATCAATTTTGTTTTGTTTATTGTAAGGTTTCCTTACGACTTAACCTATGATAGAATGCTTCTAATTTGAATGTAAATTGTGATGTCGTATCTTAGTTTTCTATTAGAAAATATGTTTGGCCTAATAAAATATATATTTCTACTCCAATCCTCATATATTCTACTTGTTTGTAAAATGAAATAATTAGAGTAATGTATTTATCTTAATTATTATCTTCTAGTACTAAAATAGAAATACTTAATAACTTTAATGATCGATGTCAACAAAGTTGAGATCAGAACAATAATTAGAGTATATATTCAATAGAGATGCTGCGTAGAATAATATACTGATCTCTAGATGTTTACTAACTTAATAATAAGCAAGCAAAATAACAAAATTCATATATGTTCAGTGAAATACATATCTCTATCAACTCATTCAACGTTTTCCCACCGTAGTATCCTCTAGAAATCTTCCTGAGATGGCAGTAGCAAGTGCGGCTGTGAAATTAGGATCTCTCGTCAAAGAAGTAGCCATTTGCTGAACTAAAAACTGCTGGATAGATGACTTTTGTGCATTTATGTCAACCAACTTTGACTGGACCAAGTCAAGCGTTACAATTGGACCTGCTGCACTCCGATTCATGGCAACTGAACCTGCACTACTAGGGCTATCACTTTGGCTTGAATTCATTGATATTTCCATTTGAGGTTGCCCATGGTTGTGCTCTCCTTCATAAGTTGTTACCAACACACTAGGGTCCTCAACACTTCTTTGCACCTAATTATAACACATGGTCATGATTGCAAAAAAGAAATCAAAATTTTGCCTTTTTTTCTCGATTCTTAATTCTTAATTCAAGACTCAACATAGTTGATTTAATTTGTTTCATATTGCTACTAATTTACCTTCTTCTTCACTGGGCAGCCTGGGGCATAGGAACACTTGAAGTAAGCCCTAGGAGAGGGGTTATCTCTGGTGACTTTTTGACCATATTTTCTCCACTGATATCCATCCCTCACATACTTCAATACCCAAAAACAAATTAAGGATCCTCAGTTAGTACTATTATAACCTCCAAATATTCACTCAAAAATAATCTAAAAGCTATTCAATCAAGTTATTTCGGGTCCAAGTTAGTTTTACACATCAAATTTTGTTTCTGCATATGCTCAACTCAGAAATCAAATCATAGCTCTGGTGAAGGTGAGAATTATTCCACTTATATATTCTATGTTAATCATATTACTAGTATTACTAGCGGATCTTAAATTTCTGACACAAATACAATAACGGTATATAACTTAACATTGAAGAACTTACTAAGCTAGTATCAGATGCATCTGTCCGCACTGAAACTTTGTAAACCTTTGGTGAAGTGCTATTATGCTTGGCCCTTTTGAATGACTCTTCCTCAGTAGTAGTGCTGCACTCCGTGTAAGCGTTAATACCAAACAGATTCACACAATTATTGTCACTCTCGACCTTTCTCTTCAGCGATGGCGTGGCTTCTTTATCAACATCTGTGTTCCTCAGTTGACTGAACTCACTCAAATGTTTCTGCAAAGCAACATAGTTCTCGCAGACGTGGTTGAGCGTCTCAGTTAGCCTCTTATTCTCACTGTTTAGACGCTGCAACTCTTCGACCAAAACTTGTGCCTGATAAAGAAGAATTTGGTTCAACGTTAGCAATTAGTCACATCACAGGAGAGAAGAAAAGATTGAGGTTGGCGTGTTATTTATAGTAATAGAGTAATGATAATTACCACATGGTCGATGTGGGGCGAGGGAGAGGGAATAACGTTAAGGTTGAGGGAAGTGTCGATGCACGTTGGTTCCATGGAAGAAACTAGAAGGATTTGATTTGGTTCTGAATTAAGGGACAGAGGGAATTGGAGAAACTAAAGTGGTTTATAGTTTAATTGGATTTAAGAGAATGAGATAGGGTGAAATATATAGAGAGATAAAGGTGAGGACTTTTATTATAATTTGTTGCGAGGAAAGTAGCACGAAAATGAGGCCAAGAAAACAGTCTCATACAGTTTCGTCATTTCTATGATGTCTACGCTTTATTTTATGTCTATGTATGCAATTAATAAAGTGATGGACGCGCATTCTAAAACAACGGAAATAGTTCTTTTCTTCTGTTTTTTTTTTTTTAATATTTATGTTTAATTTCTGTATATTACGTGTAAAAAAAAATTATAACTAAAAATAATCCAGGATAAGACTTTTAAACTACTTATAGTATAAGTCAAAATATATAACTGTTGTTTAATTTTATTTTATTTCTTTTTATATATCATATTACTTATTATATTATTTTTCATTTAGTTTTCTCTTTTTCTCATATCTTATACCCCAAAATGTGATATATATTATCAATTTATTTATTTTTAATTGATTATTCTTTCACACTATGTGATCGAATGTGATTGGGTGAAGGAAAAAAGTAGAATAAGAAATAAATAAAAAGTAATAGAAAATGGTGAGAGATCCATATATAAATAAAATGTGGTGTGAATGGGATGTAAGAGAAGCAAGCATAATTGATGTAATATAGAGACAAAAAAAAATTATACAAAATTGTTATAGGAATTTATATAAACTCAAATATATGTGAGTATACTCTCCGCAGATTGTTCCATTTTGATTTTATTCTTTATATATACTTTTTTTTGTTTTAATCTCTATGATATTTAAGCTTTTCATGTTTGGTATTTCTGTTAAAAGACTTTTACATAACGTTGTCATGTGTTATAAAAATACTTATGTGACAATACTAAATGAAATTACTTAAGTATTTTTATAACAAAATGAAGAAGAAGAAAAAAAACATAATATTTAGATTTGATATGAATACAAACAAACAAAAATCAAAAGGAAAAATATTTACTCAAATTACAGAATATATATTTAAACCTATTGCATAAAATTATAAATAGTATGAGTAATGTTTTCCCTTATTAAAGCCGTTTTAGCTATATATATTATTCATTGGATCAATAATTTATAAGGTTTGCATGAAAGCATAATATATAATAAATATTTTTAAACGAAAATTTAACATATAATGATCGTGTCTATATATACGTGGATGAAATATTTGCGATATACACTAAAGATGAAGGTCCCCACAAGGAAAAAAGAGAAATGTTTACATGAAAAGAAGTGCATGAAGAAGAAATTCATGTAGTGGTCAATCTCAAACTTTCCTATAAAGAAAGGGCAAGTTGATATTTTACGATTTGGATGTTCTCTCGTTGACTGCAATTCTCATTGACTTGACTTGGATATATGAGTGGTTGTGTTTCCGTGTGATTCTATTTCAGCAGCTATACATATTGAGTATATTAAGCATATTATACAGACTAAATATTTATAATATAAAACTAAAATTTATAATAAATTATGTATAAATTTTATATAAATAAATATTTTTAAACATATAAATTATATTTTTTTTATAAATATATAAATTATATTTTAAATTTATGATAAATAATTTATATTGTAACATAATATTATTTTTATTTATTGTTAATTTTATTTAAAAATATTAAAATTTAATTTATAAATAATTATGATAAACAAATATTGAAATAGATATGAAGTCTCTCAGCAAAATTTAAAAAATATTTTATAAAATAAAAATTTGTATTTAATATATAAAAATTTACAATGTAGAATAAGATTGAGTAGCTTGTTAGTCTTCTCCATTGTTGACCGTCCCTTTTATGGCTTTCCTCGTTATTGCGAAACCAAATGCCAAGTCTGTGGCTTATCTAAGACTTTTTTGTTATTCCTTTTCTTTTGCACCTATTCATATATAGTATCTTAATTGCAAAACCAAATGATGCCAAGTCTATGGCTTACTAGCTATCTTACTTCTAATTAACTATTCGAGCAGTTTTTTATAAATAAAAAATAAAAAAAATTAAGGAACCACTTCTAAATTTTAAATTAAAATCCGAAAACTTATCCTCCCGAAACAGTATGGTATGAACATAATTAAGATGTAGGCCCCATTTCTAATAAAGCATATCTAAATTTATTTAGCTAGTTATTTACTATTTGCAATTTACTACTAGTATAAACTTTTGAAAACTCATTCATTTCTTCACAACTCACACGGATGAAGGATGTCATCATTCGAGGAAATATTTAGGAAAAAATCACAAGTGTTCAAGTTGATCTATATTTTTTGGTAGCTTCCAAGTTACGTGCAGTTTTTGTATATACTACATTAATTATGTTTATTATCATAAGAAATATGAAAATCGTGACGTTCACCTTTTCCTAATTATTTTGTAATTTTTTTTATTGAACTGTATATATTCACTGCATGGATGTATCATGTATTGGATAATGACAGACTTGATTTTATGAATAAATAAGTAGACTTTATGGTTACTCTAACTATTGTTACTCAACATGTACAGTTAGAAGACGTATGTTTCAAGTACTATTTTGGTATTTTTGAAAATATAAAGATGAAAATATTTATTCTTATATTTGTTAAAAGGTTAAAAAAAACATATTTTTATAAATGTTTTATTGTTAGGAATGTAAAACTTTTATATTTTATTGGTTTCTCATTTCTATATATGATGAAGGATGAATATCTTATAATTTTATGAGGAGTTAATTATTTCTTTTTCAATAACTATTTCTTCTCACTTTTTCATTTTACATTTCTTTTCTTTTTTAATTAAATAAAAAGTTTATAAAATTAATAATATCAAACATATTCATGAAAATATCATTGGTGGATGTAATATTCTTGAAAATTTTATTATTAAGAATACAATATTATATCTTGAAACAAATATCCTTCAGTTAAATAAAAAAAAATTGATCAGTTAAGTTAAGAAATTATATGTACAACTCTTTTGAATTATATCCCATCCCATTATAACATTCCAAAACTCATAAAATTGAAGCAACTAATAATTAAAATAAAACTGTAGGCATTTTCCTCCAATAAAAAAATAATATTTTTTGTCAAAAATATTCTATGTTAAAAATTAATATAAAAAAATGTAATGTTCAGATATATAATGCACTCCAAACCTCCATAAATTCATAACTGTGAATAATGTTTGAATCCGTCCCTACTTTGATGAGGGATACCCAATTCATTAAAAATTTATAAATATTTGATTTATTTTTTATTTAAAATTTATATAGTTTCTTACTCTATTTTTAATTCATGTAAAGTAAAGTTTAATTAATGTAATTTTATAATAATTATTTTATGTTAAAATTCTTATTTTATAATTTTTTGAAAAAAATTAATTAACTTTTAAACAAATACAGGATAGATACATGTATATCTGCTACCTAACAAATATAGGGATGAAGACACAAATTTCATACTCGCCAGGTATAGAAATGAGTATAAAGTACACAAATGGGGAAAGAGATATAGAAAAATTCATATACATTCCACCCTGTTACCATCCCTACCTCCATCCACGCATTTTTATCAAAAATAAAATTTAATTATAGTTTTTTAGACGTGTTTAGTTATATTTTTCTATCAAAATACATTTGTAGTTTGCATTTATAGTTAATATATGTCTTATTAATATACACTGAAATATAATTCTAACTTTAATTAAGATGTATCACCAATAATACTTATGAAGCTATATCTAAATTTTGTAATTATTATCATAATCATATGAAGCATATGTTTTCATTCTTTCTTCTTTGTGTAAATTTCCTTCAACTACCAAGAAAAACCCTTTAGTCAAATATATCTTGATAAACAATTGTATTTAATATTAAAAATAATAATTTTTTTCTATAATAAATTTTATTTAAGTTGAATAAGATTATCTTCTATAATAAAAGCAAATTTATTTTGATATGTGTTGATATGTCTTTACAAATGATAGATATAATAATAATTTTTTAAATAAGGAGTTTATAATTAATAAATAAGTTGTTTGACTACTCTCAAACTTGTCGTACAAAATTCAAAAGCACATCCTACGCGGAAGGCCCACTGAATTTCAAGTATAATTATCCAGCAAAGAGCACGCACTCTCTTCCGGAAGGTTTGTCTTCCATAAGGGCGCTTTAAAAATGTAAAATAAGAATTAACGATAATTAATTAATTAATAATAACAAAATAAGTTCTAAACTAATATATATATATATATATATATATATATATATATATAC